AGAGTAATTCAAAAATGTTTCTCTCAGAATTGTCAGGATTCTGAGGGCACCCATAGCCCTTAATGGCTTTCATCAGCCTCGCCTGGGGCCCACCCCATCCCAGCCCGTGGGCCTTGGAGCCCGCTTTCTGCTCAGCCTAGACTATGTCCTGGTTTCAGCTGGGACAGAGTTAATTTTCTTCATGGTGGCTGGTATGTGCTGTGTTTTGGATTTAGGATGAGAACAGTGCTGATATCAGAGGGATGTTTAGTTGGTGTAGACCCGTGCTCGCACAGAGCCAAGGCCTCTCCTGCTCCTGGTGCTGCCTGGCCAGCGAGGAGTCTGGGGGTACCCCAGGAGCTGGGAGGGGACACGGCCAGGACAGCTGGTCCAGGCTGCCCAAAGGGATGTCCCACATTGTGTGTCATCATGCAGAACAATAAAATAGGGGGCATTGGCCAGGGAGGGAGGGCATATTGTTCAGGGACTGTGTGGGCATCAGCCTGTTGCAGCCCCCAGCTCTGCCCACCGTGGTCAGACCCTATGGGATGGGGCCTGTCAGTGAGGGCACAGCCTCGGCTCCCAGAACAACCACCTCTCAAAGAGACCTGACAACAAAAAAGCGGGAATGCCATTCATGTTTAATCACAAAAAGCTAGCAATGTTCCTTCCTTACAAGCTCGTGGAAGGAAAGGAAGAGTTTACTCTAGAACTGGATTAAAAAGACTGTTTAAATAGGACTTTGAGTGATTAGGTAATGAGATACAAGAAGCTCCAAAGTCTCACTGGCATCTTTGCAGGCAACCTTGTCTTCAGTCACAACTGTTTGTCACGGTATATTCCAGGCACAACCTAATCTGTACATCTTCAGACCTCATTAGGGAAAAAATGGTTTGCATATGTAGAGTTGTACTAACTGGCTGAACTATAGAGAAGAGACAAATGACTGTACTCACTGGATGGTACTGTGAGACTACAGCTTCTTGAGGATGATTCACTCCGTTGTCTCTAGATCGAACTTGCACTATCTTGTTTTCCAACCTTTAAGATTCTGCAAGTTAAAGACGAGCTTATGCAGTAAATACCCATGGCTCTTTTAGGAAGGAAATTTTTTTGTCAAACCTTCACAGTAAATCATAATCATAGATTCATCTAGGTTGGAAAAGACCTTCGAGACCATCAAGTTCAACCATCAACCTGACCTACCGAGCCCCGTCACTAAGCCATGTCCCTCGCTGACACAATGAATGATGGCAAATCTTCAGATATGTAGCTTTCCCACAGTCTATCATGGCAATGACTTTTTCCTTCCTTCCTTCCTTCCTTCCTTCCTTCCTTCCTTCCTTCCTTCCTTCCTTCCTTCCTTCCTTCCTTCCTTCCTTCCTTCCTTCCTTCCTTCCTTCCTTCCTTCCTTCCTTCCTTCCTTCCTTCCTTCCTTCCTTCCTTCTCTTTCCCTAGTATGTACTTTAGCAGCAATGACCTTTTCGGTGTCCTAAATATTGCCTTCAAAGAACCAGGTGTCAGTGCAGGAAAGAATGTGGCTTTTGGGGTGCAGGACTCTTCCAGGGAGTATTCATTAAGTTGATGTGCTTTGCATTTTGAAAAGTAACTCTAAAACGCATTCTGCTGAGAATGCCTTTTCCTAAACTGAATTAGGTGAGCCAATAATAACATAAAGAATAATGCAACCCAAACATACATCACCATATTCCTTGGGAAAACTAAACAAAACCTGAATAAAAACTGTATTAAAAATGAGCAGAGCTGATGCAAGGTTTTTTGCTGCCCTAGGCAGATAAATACTGCTGTCTTCTTTCCTCAACAGTACTTGCTCTTTCAAAAATTTCCACCCAGCCACGTGAAGCTGTAACCTCTTTGGGTTCTGACAGATGTCCCCTGGCAAATATTGTAGAGGGAACTAAATCCTCAGGTGTCTGCAGCATCTCTGTGCCAGCAGCAGCAATGGCAGAAGGCAACATGTAGTTTGGTTTCTGCTGCCCTGACCCATAGTCTAAGGAAATGATTATGCCTCAGAAATGATAGTATAACTGAAACGCTGTTAAAAGCTTGCTCTTACTGAGTCAGTCTTTATCTCTTAAGTCTTTGACTCCCTGTCACCTTCGTTTAGGGTGTACAGTACAATTTAGTACTCCTATCTCTACAGCTGATGAAATAAAAGGTTTCACAGCATACATAGGATACATACAAAATTCAGCTCTTTGTCATATGTGTAGCACACAGGATTCTGGATATACAAAGTAGGTTCCTACTACAGATTTACAGTTCAAAATGCAATGACTTTTTTCTGAACTGCCACAGATTCCTGGGAACAGATTCCCTGTAAACAGAATAGCTGGTTCCTTCTGGAGACTTCAAGGTATTCATCAAAGCCTCATTACAACACAAATTCATGGGTAAAACACAGATGTTTAGTGCCTGTGAAGAGCAACACAAGGGCAGCGCATGTCTTCCCAAGGCAACATGCAGGGCTCTGGGAAAAAAAAAAAAAAAAAAAAAAAAAAAAAAAAGAATTCTGATACTCTCGTATTTGTAATTTCAGTATTATTTTACTTTCTAAATGCAGCCTGTGAGACTGAGTAGCTTAAACAGCAATTGCAGATTTTATTTTTATTTATTTCCTATTAAAATGTCATTTTTTTTCATTATTCTTACTGCATCTTGCAATTTTTTCTCAGTAACTCTGTGGAAATTATTTATAAATATGAATTTATAAATAATACAGCCTTAGGGAAAGATGTATTTTAGGATATGCAAGACAATAAATACAAAGAATACATTGAATATTAAAAGAAATTATATTTTAAATGCTTTTCCAGCAAAATGCACAACTCTTTTAGAGACACATATACACACCAGATTCACTTTTCAGCATTATTTTATACCAGAAATATACATAATGAGGAAGGATTTTCTCTTTCCCTTTCTTTCTGTTTTATGCTTATTTACTGTTAACTTACTGTATATGTAATTTATCTTTGTCTTTTTAGCATAAGCATGTTTATACATATCTGCTGGCACTTTTTAAAAGGAAGCTTTACAGCAGCAGGGAGCCACATTGCTCTCAAGATAGATTTTTTGAAAAATCTGACTTATTTAAAGCTGCCAGCACAGTATGCTCCGGGCTGCATCTAGTTGTGCCCTACAGACAGTGAGTCAGAAATGTAGCTAGGCCTGCAGCCTCTATCAAGGTACACAGGTCACAGAACACTTTCCCTGCCAGGACAGCAAGACCTCGTCTTTTCCTGTCACGTTGCTCGGTGGCTGACAGAATTAATGTCTCATGAACCAGGATGATGGCACTCGGAAAGGCAGGAACACGCTGGGAGGTTTTGGTGTGAACGTTAACTCATGCACAGACCTCACTTCTCTTCTGCACATTTCAGTAGGCTTCTGAGAAACACGCTTCTCTTGGGTTATCTTTCAGGCTCAGCAAACATGTATCAGAGGCCCACAAGCATTGCCCCTGGGTAGAGAAGGCACCCAGCAGAAGGAATAGAGCAATTCACCCATTGTAGGGCTCTGTGGCTGCTTTCACTTCAACAGTTTTTCATGCAACAGAGAAGATCTTTAGGTGAATAAACCACATCACCCTGAAATGCAGTTCCTTAACAGCTTAAACCAACCTAAGCTGGGTGCTTACATGATCAGACAGGGAACTGATGCAGAAACTGCTGGACCATTTGAAATCTAATCTTATTTAACAAAAAATAATAGTTTTTAGCTCATGCCTGTACCAGCTTTCTATGCAATCTCTATTGATGTGAATGCCTACAGGAAGAAGGTGCAGGAACATGCAGCCAGGACAGAAGACAGAATAGCAGCACCTTTGTCTAGGTGACATTTAACAGCAGCTCTGCCCACCACCCACACCTCACCCTGGTGCTGGCACAGCCATTTGTGCTGCTGTCCAGAGAGTCTGATCAGAGAACTGATTAAAAAAGCCATCTTTTCCTGGATGAGTTTTCATTTGGATCCATTCTCCGATCAGGCTTGCAAACAGAAAATTCATTTTGTGCTCAAGGTTAAAAGCACTTATTTTTGAAGGGGATGAGATATGTTTTTCATAATAAAGTGCAAACTCAGCACTAAGCTGTGGAATTTCTGGTACCTCTTCGATTTTGCAATTTGCCTATGAAAAGTTGGTTGCTGGAAGTGTGTGCATTTAAACAGCCTCCACAGCAAAAACGTTGTGACTAAAGTTGATGACAAAACTAGATACAGACCTAGTACTTTACCATCATATGCAAGGAATATACTTTGAAGATTAACTCTATACAGTACAATTTAACAAAAGCAAGAAAAAATACTTAATCCTGTGCACTTACACTAATTTAATCGTGCTAGTGGTCCAGTACATTTCTTATTACTTAGCTGTTTATCTCAATTTCTTTCCACAAGAATGTATTTAAACAACATTAAATCATCCTATGTACCACGTGCTATTTTGTGCTAGCTGTACAACCTTCTTTAGGTAAAAAAGCAGGAGGTTAGGCAGTGAACTGTGAAACTTACTTGCACAAATAGGTGACCTATATTTGCCTGCACATTTTTTGCTCTTCTTTTTCTACAGATAATTTTAACATGTTCTGCACTTTCCATCTATATGACTTCCTTGATTACTGTGGAGTACTGTGTAGCATATAGTCACATATGGTATCACAAGACATTACATTTTCTGTGTAAGATGTGAGAAAATATATGAATAATATTACTTAATGGAATTTGAATAAATCAAAGTGTGTGAGATTATACACACTGACAATAAGATGTGCTCTTCTTGACATCTATGTATGTAAACATACATCCTTCTATTTACTGATGCAAATGATTTTCTAATAGAACATTTTTTTCCCTGTTGGCAAAGGTATATCTGAAAAGGAGCTATGTAAACCTCAAACTTGTATGCATGAACTACATATAGCTAGAGCTACCAGCTGCATGCAGATATTTAGCCACCTCAGCACACCTGACAGGTGAGCACCATGTCAGACATACCTGATGAGTCTGCCCTTCAGCAGCCCCCAAGGAAGCCACCAGCTGGTGGTCAGGCAGTTGCATTGAGAGAAGGGAGGCTCAGCACATGCTATCTTCAGCCACATCAGAGACCACTCTTTCTGCAGAATATAGAATAATATAGATCTTTGTGTTGATATAGGTAGACACACAGATGTACAATTCTGTAATTATAGAACTTCACTTTGAAGCTCTGTATCTCAATTCCTGATAACTTTCCTTCCCAAAGTACTCAGAAAATTCTTCCAAGTCTCGTAACTCCTGTGATTTATAGCTGTATGTTTGCCTATTCTCTCTTTAAGCATCTGAACTCCAAACATATGACTAATGAATTCTCTTCTAATCTGTGTGGTATATTAGTTTAAATAATTAATTAAACTGCTTAAGTAATGCCATTTTTGAAGTCTCATAATATTACCAAAAAGAAATTAATGTTCTTTTTAACAAGAAAAGACATTCATTTTGTATGACACATTCTCCTTTGCAATTTGGGCATTTTAACCTCATCTATACAGTGTGACTCACTTTTTAACTTTTAGTTTTTAAAAGTTAACAAAATTTGTATTCTAAATTGTATTTTTAATTATGGGAGTTGATCTAAAAATGAACTTCAATTCAGTTGCTTCATTCCACCATTGTAAGATTCAGAATGCATACTACACTTTATAAATCCATTATGCAATCCCATCTTAACTGTTGTGTGTGCATTTCTAGTATCTCTGCCTCAAAAAGTATGCGGGAGAACTGGAGAAGATTCAGAGAAGGTCAACAAGGATGATCAACAGCGTAAAGCAGGTAAGCAACCAATTAAGCTAGGACTTTTCAGGAAAGGAAAGATACATACCTACATACAAAAGAAGATTATAAAATGATGATACAGGAAGAGTGTGGATAGAGATTGATTATCTCTACCTTTTCCAGTACAATAAAGTCAGATAAAGCTGGAGGAGCAACAATCAGAAGCACACAGTTCTTACCACAGTGGATTGTAGGCCTGAGAATTTCTGTTGTGCACCCAAAAGTTGGGATGGGTTTGAGGATAAAACAGACAAGAAAAGAAATCACAAATGCACAGAAACACCTGGTTCAGGAGGTTCTGGCATGGAAAAGGCTGAAGACAGTAGGTAGGAAGATCATCTGTGCCTTCTCATGTTGTATTATGTAACTTAATTATGGTCATAATCATTATACCTATGAATGTACATTTGTGTCCATTTGATGCCATTTCAGCCAGTTATAAACTCAGAAAATTACTAATATGTTACTAACTAGTGCATCTGAAGCTTTCTATTTATTTATTCATTGTTCCAGCAAAATGTATGCAGACATAAATTTTAGCCATTGCCTCTTTTTTCCAATAGTATGTCAGGAAACAAGCTGAAGCACTCATCCATTATTTTCTTCTCTCTATGTATCAGACGTACAATTATCAGAAGACACCAATTATGTGCGTCAGTGGGAAAGGAAGCTATTTTCTATAAGAATAGCTGTAAGTGGGTGGATGCGTAACTAGAGTCATGACCGAACAAATTAATTTCTAGTATGGTAGAGCACTGAGAAATTGAAGTGCAAATTTGGGAAGGCTCCAATTGTTTGTGCTAAAATTGTGTGGGCTGCCTCAAACTGAGAAGTAGTCTTGAATTCATAAAAATTGCTTTCTCTTCTTTTCTCCTTTTGGACTGTTCTTTCAGGTTTTAGATGGATCTGGTTGTTAGCAGGCCTGGCATAAATACATTTCAGAAATAACATGATGGAAAAGATTGGCAGTAATCAGTTAGGATAACTGGAGGGAGAAGTGGGTTGAGGGGTGTGGGTCAGCCTGGGGGAGGCACTGAGGTTTTGCCATGCTGCTGGAGAATTTCACATCAAGTTTCCTTTTAAGCTTGTGTGAGGACAGCTAATTGGTTCTCAAGCTCACAAAAGCACCTCATGAATACAAGCACCTGGAAATAAGGTCTGAAATCCCAGCATGTGGCTTCATAATGGAGGGAAGCATGAGGGACAGAGGAGACAGATAGAGAATGGAGAGATGCTTTGTATCGGGCTGTTTCCTAAATTGATAGCTTTATGTATGGTGCAACACTGCAGTCCTGCTGGAAAACGATGATACTTGCAGATGGAGTCCAGCCTGTGTCACGGGACATCATTATTTCTTCTAAAGAGACTACAAAATGCTTTTCCTATGTGTCATGCACAAAGAACTCATGGGTAAAATTTGGCTGTGTGTTTTCCTTTGCCCTCCTGGTGGCTCTCATACAGCCATCGGTCCTTAGGATGAATGGCCCCAAGTGCTGTTTCTGTTTCTGTGGAGCTTGGGTTCAAGGTCTTTCCACTTACTCACCTGAAAATGATATAGAAGTAGACATCGAACACAACTAGAGCAAAGACTGCTCTTTCTGGGACTCTCCCAGGTAGTCTTTATTGTGAAATGCCAAATGTATTTGCTGCTGTCTCCAAAATCTTAGGGGACTACGCATTAATATATAACCAGTCTAAAACGGGCATAAAATTTCCTAAAATAATTCATCCTATTGTCAGTCAAGGAAAGAAATAATTCATTCACCATGGCCCAACAATGTTCACTGAGACAGAGCAAAGACAGCCCCAGGTTACTGAAGTGACCTAGTTTCATCCTATATATTCACCACAGAGCGGCATTAAAAATTCTCTGACAAATCAAAGAAAGACTGAAATTTGAAAGTGGTAAATAGGAACTTTAGTAGCATGGAAAGGCAGCCAAATAACGCTGCTTGTTTGTTTGTTTGTTTGTTTGTTTGTTTTAATGGTAATATTACCTTGAAAAATGTTGAGTGGTTGTGAAAAACATTTGGAGCCCTCTGTCAGTTTTGCCCTGTGCTTTTCTGTTGCCAAGACAGAACAGAGCAAGTGACTTTCCCAGAACCTCTGGTGGAACAGATTGCTTAAAAGAGTGTTTTTGTAATGAAAAGGTATATATGTAGGATACCGTTGTTTAAATGCCTGGTTTGATTTTGCAGATTGTATTCCTTCTAGCAAATATGAAGTGTTATGAAGCAAGAACTCCAGAAAAGAGGGTTCTTCCATCTCATATGTACATAAGGAAAAGGGGTTACATTTTTGTGTTTGTGGCAGCTGTTGCTTTTCTTTGATGATGATTACTTGGTAAGTCTTTTCTAGCTGATTTAAAGAGGTCCAGTTTATCATCTTAGTAGGTTCATGTCAGAATGGGAAAATAATTGCTGCCTCTTGAAAGATAAGGTTTGCCTTTTCTTTAATGTTTCTTTTGTTCCAGCTCCTCATGACCCATTTTTTCATAATTTCTTCATAATTCATAATAAATATAAGCTGAGCATTTAAATTCTTTTTTCAAATCTTTTTGATGCTCATTTAAATGTATTACCTATGTCTACAGGAGATGACTGAAGAAGAAAATAATAAATAATAAATTAAGTAGGACAGCCTTTGTGTAATGATTTGTGGACTAATTAACCACCTTGGACAAATTTCACAGTTTTTATGGTTTGGCAGAGATCAGGTCATTGGGACTACTAATTTGCAGGTTAAAGTGGATGGAAAAACACTAACATAACCCTCTTCCATTTAGATAATGTTCTTTTTATCATTCAGAGAAGGTGAGATTTAAAACCATTTTCATGCCTGCTTTTATTTTTTCTTTTTTAAGAAACTATTTCAGGAGAGAATAAATAGTATCATTGTATCACCAGTAAAGCAAAATTGAAATTTAAATATAAGATTCATCAGAACTTCTATAAAGAAATTCAAGATTGGAACAATAGCAGTAATTGAAATCCTTCATTACGTGGAATTCCCATCTTCAGTGTAGTCTGTATTCAGGTTGGCAAATTATTATTTTAATTACACCTGTATTGGTGGCATGCTGCCAGCCAATGCATTATCAGCGTTCCTCTCCCCATCAGGTTCATGCGGGCTTTTAACTAGATGATTTTTCTTGGAAAGCCTAATAGACTCACAATATTCCATGTGCAAAGACTACACATTATTTAACTGTTATTATCATGTCATATGTTTGCTGTGTTGCTCTTCTTTTTCTTTTGATTATATTTTATGCCTCCTAATTCTCCATCTCTAGTTTGTAAACTCTGGTCTTGATTCATTAATTTTTAGTATTTTATTGGAAGAAATCCATCTTGTCCTCTTTGCTTTCCTTCTCCACAAACCCTGGCAAAAGAATTACCCCAGTTCTTAAATTAGGAGAAGCAAAGGCACTGAAAAGTATCAGTATCCTTAAATAATGTGTTCTGTTAAATTATTTTAGGAATATCATTTTTTGTTTCAGATATTGTCTGTAGTGAGGAAAAGGGAATGATTATCACTTGTGAGGATGAGTCAGGTAGCACAAGATGTGCTAAAGGCTGCAGGATAAATACCGTCTACTCAGCTGCTTCACTTACTAGCTGCTTGCCAAAAGTGGGGTTCAAGCAGCCCTAACAAACACAAGGAACCAGAGGGAGGCATACATGTCAGACAACACTTTAATAAAATTAAAACCAAGCCCTATAAATAATGGGAGCTAGTGCCTGTTGCTAATGCTTCTTTTTGAGGCTAGTCAGAATGGATTTGCAATGGTGTTGGAGTGTGCTCAGCCTGGAGAAGAGGAGCCTTAGCAGGGATCTAACAGCCACCTGCTAATACTTACAGGGGAGTTAACAACAAAATGGAGCTGGGCTCCTTGTAGTGGTGCATGGCATGGCAAGAGGCAGTGGCACAAATTGAAACAAGAGAGGTTCAGACTGGATATAAGGAAAGACTTTTTCTCCATGAGGGCAGAGGGGCAGTGTAGCAGGCTGCTCAGGGAAATTGTGCAGCTTCCAACCCTGGAGGTTTTCCAGCCTTACCTCTCAGCGTGCTTAGGGCAGGAGGATAGACTAGAGACCTCCAAGGTCCCTCCTAATCTGAATTAATCTATTAATATTTAGAATTACAAGCCTGTCAGGGTGTGATTACCTTGTGTGGTAACTACTTAGCAGTACTTGAAGTAGATTGTCCTTTGGCTTAATAAAGGAAATTTTAGCTGATGTACAGATGTGGTCTTTAATGTCTACTGTTAAGATTCCATAAAACATTTTAAGATCTACTAGAGAGCAGAATTGCCATCAGTCAGACAGAGTTGTGCTCTAACACCCAGTGCTCCATGTGAAACCATGGCTTCCTTGTCTTTACCAGAGGCACAAGGAAATAAAATCCATTACACTTTGTTCATTCTTAGACATATTAATTATGCTAAAACAGAACGGTGGTAGAGTTGGTTATGTTAAAATGAATTAACATAGACATGTATCAATTGTTTCTATGAGTGACATGTAATCCTGCTTTTCAGTAGGCATTTTACCAGAAAATGTTGCAAATATAATTACTCACAGTCATTTGGAATATAACTTGGGATGTATTTCTTTAAAGCTGCTCTATGAATTTTAAGATTAAATTTGTAGTGTTTTTGTGTAAGATGTTAGTTTTCAAGTGGAGACATTAGCCCTAAAGAAGAAATATTGCAGAGGAGAAAAATAGCTTACAAAGAAAATGGTAATGAAAGAAATCTTGATTAAATTAATATTATGTAACTAGTCTCCTAGTTCTATTCTTCTTCTCTACATTTGTTTTAGGATCATAACATGAAGCTGATCTCAGAAGGAACTTCTAACAGCATTGCAAAAATAGTTTTCTCTAGATGATACAGCTTGAACTGAAGATCTGAAACTGTCTTTAGAAGAGAAGTGTGTTCAGTCCCACTAGCTACTCTCATGTAGCTAGTGTCGCCTA